AGTTTTTATGAAGTTTTTCATCCAAATAGAGCCTAAAATTAAGCAATTATGTATAAGTTACTTTTGTAATCTAAGGTGGAATGGGGTTAACTTTTCTGTATATGCTATTTTCAAAAGTTATTCAACAAAACTTAAAGACTTGTTTGATAATTTAAAAAAAAAAAATATTTTTAGGAGAAAACAAATATTAAGAAAAAAAGAAATAACTTCTCCAAAAATTAAAATTAGCCTATGCATAACTAATTAATTTGTAGAAACTCTTTTATAGTAACTTCTTCAAAATATTTCTTTTAGTTTCTATATAAACTAATTTTCACTTATAAAAAAATTTATTTTATTTTGCTTTTCTTGTTTTATTATTCTACTTGTATTTTTTAGAAGTTTATATAAACAGACCTTTATTGAAATGAGATAAAAAGAGCGTATAAACATATCATAAAGAGTCTTCATCAAAAAGCAAAAATGAAAAAATAGTCTGTGATGACGATGCAAATAAATTTTATATAATTAATGCAACTAAAAATTACTATGTATGAGTATGATAAGTTTTTTAATCTTTATAAAAATTACTTAAGAACATTTAAAATAATTTTTATTGTTGGTTCATAATGTATAAAAAATAAAATTTATGCTCTAAACAAAATAGACTTTATTATAAATTATATTTATAAATCTTCTTAAACACTTAATATTAATTTATGTGATAAAATAAATATCTATATCTATATCTATATATAAAAATGACTATCTATTTTTGTGTTCATAATTTTAAATTATTTTATTTTTAAAATTTTAAATAATAAAATATTATTAAAAATTAATTATTTTTATAAATTCAAAACTTAGATTTAAGATTTTATAATTTATGAGGAGTACAATATCAATTAATTCGACAAATATTAATGTTTTAAATTTTTTTAAAAATATAGATATATAAAACGTCTCAATCTAACTAATAAATATAATATAAATAAATTCCTGACTCAAAGATTGACTCTCGCAAATACATGTGATCTTTGAAGAAAAAAAATATATTTATAGATAAGCCAGTCCCGACTCCACGTAACCTTTGAACAAATCATTCCAATTAATACAATTAGATCACACTGTGTTAGGATCATAAAACTTTTGAATATAAAAGAATTAATATTGAAAAGTCATCATAAATAATGAAAGATGGATGTTGCGTTTAAATAATATCGAATAAAATTGTATTTCCTCAACTATTACATATAAAATAAATAAATAAATTTATATAAATTAAAAAACAGTTAAATATATTTAATTTTTATAATTTCATATAAAAATATATATGATATTTATTAAAATATATTTAATTATATTTATTATAGATAGTCTTCATTTATTACTTAAATGTATTTTTGAATTAAGTACATTATATATAAAATTGACTTAGTTAAAATTTATTAATATTAAGTTAAAAAATTAAACAGCTTTTTACTTATATATATTTATATTAAAGTTTAACTCTCTAATATTTATTTTTTGGTATAATATTGTATTGAGGGATGCTAGTCGATACTTATCACACTCTTAGTATTGTGACAGCTGCTTGTCATGCATCTGTAGAGTTCTCACACACACAAAAATTAAATACAAAATTCTTCATTAATATATTATCCCAGCATGTGACACCAAGATGCTAAGCCACTATGCTAATATATTGTAATCAGAAATCACTAATTTGCTTTATTATTATTTGAAAAGTATTAGAAATTACTAAAAGAAAGATTGGAAATTATTAATGCTAAATATCTATTAAAATTTATGATTTTGTAAAATAGTTATCAGAGAGAGCATGAGTATTGTTCCGGCCAAAGGGTAGACTAGGGTTTTTTCCTAGATCATGTCTTAGAGCCAGAGCATTCAAAAGTGTAATCTGTCTTCTTAACTCTAGGGTTTTGGATTTTATAGTTTCTTGTTCACAGGCCTTATGGGCCCCGTGAATATGGGGATCTCTTTAGCCGTTACAATCTGGAAAATACTTGGTGAGTGAAGGTGGGACCTCGCCATTTACTGAGTGTCCAATCGGATAATGATCGAGTAAGCCTTTATGGGTGGGAGTCGATCGGTATCTGGCTCTGAGAGGGAGAGTCGGCCAAGGTTATAGTCGGGTGAGTCGTCCAAGGTTACAGTCGAGTGAGTCAGCCAAGGTTACAGTCGGGTGAGTCGGCCAAGGTTACAGTCGAGTGAGTCGGCCAAGGTTACAGTCGGGTGAGTCGGCCAAGGTTACATTCAGGTGAGATCAGGTCGTGAATCGGCCTAGGCAGTGCACAGGTTTATAGTCGGCTTCACACGCATAGTAGCCCTTATATTCGGCGATACCAATCGGCCTACGGCCGAGTCGGCGATACCAATCGGCCTACGGGCGAGACGGTCCAATTGCCTTCCAGCCTTGAGCCTATAAGGAGAAAAGGCTTAAGGTGTAGTCCTTATAGTCCGAGATACCAATCGGCCTACGGCCCAGTCGGCGATACCAATCGGCCTACGGCCGAGTCGGTGACACCAATCGGCCTACGACAGAGTCGGCGATACCAATCGGCCTACAGGCGAGTCGGCGATACCAATCGGCCTACGGCCGAGACGGTCCATTTGCCTTCCAGCCCTTAGCCTATAAGGAGAAAAGGCTTAAGGTGTAGTCCTTATAGTCCGATATACCAATCGGCCTACGGCCCAGTCAGCGATACCAATCGACCTACGGCAGAGTCGGTGACACCAACCGGCCTACGATAGAGTCGGCGATACCAATCGGCCTACAGGCGAGACGGTCCACTTGCCTTCCAGCCTTCAGCCTATAAGGAGAAAAGGCTTAAGGTGTAGTCCTTATAGTCCGAGATACCAATCGGCCTACGGTCGAGTCGGCGATACCAATCGGCCTAAAGTCGAGTCGGTGACACCAATCGGCCTACGACAGAGTCAGCGATACCAATCGGCCTACAGGCGAGTCAGCGATACCAATCGGCCTACGATGTGCATTAAAAAAATGGACTAGTCTTCATTTACTAGAAAAGATCCACTTTAATTATTTTTATAAGAAAATAATCTTTAATGATAGATTGGAAAACACTCTTTGATGCGGAAAAAGAAATCTCATTAACTTAATTTTTACTAGCACATAAATTTTGGGCCCAAAAAAATGTTATATATATATAATATTATATATATATATGTATAATAAAAAGTGTTGTTTCATTTATATCATTATGTTGCCATGGCTTCATAGGGACACAGTCCTCATTAGGCATGGCAATCTAACCCGCCCCCGTGGGTACCAGCCCGACCCCGCCCCGATTTGGATGAGGAAAACCCGTGTTTATTGGGTTCAGGTTCGGGTTCGGGTTTTCCCCGATTGATAAAATCGGGGACAGGGGCGGGATGGGGATGTTAATACCCACCCCGCCCCCG